ACCACCATTACGGTTATTCCGCTACACATCCCACTGATACTGCTACTACAGATAGCATATATATAGTGTACAATTAAATACGTACTGTCGCGCGTGCTACTTATGCTGATAGATTTAAGTAGTATACAGCATCAACCGGAAGTTGAATGGCTGGCAGCAAAAGATTGTAATGAAAAGAACAGGAAGGAAATCTGAGAGCAATCGAAATAGCAACAGAATTAGAGGAATAAGGGGAGTATGTAAAAGATAACACAAAGTTTATGCTGTATTTACTGTATGTATTTCATATTTAACTAACCCATTGTGTTATTTTGCGTTAAACGATAAAATGGTTCTCCCCATCTATGTTTTTGTTCACTACAGTACTACCAATTATGTTACAAATAACCAAATTATCCTATACTTTTTCTTGTTTTATGAAATCAAAATTTGTGTAGGTTATTGTTGTCAAGAGAACATTAGGTGTTGGCTATGCAGCAGTTGATAATCCGATATTCTTTAAAGAAAATACTGAAATGCTACTGGGCGATGCAAAAACTATTTGTGATGACCTATTAAATGCATGCCGAAATCCATCATAAAGAAAATTCTACTTAATTTTACTAAAAACTATTATTTTGCATATAACATTTAAAAAGATGAATGTGTTTTGTTTGTTTGTTTCTTTCTTGAAGTTCAACGTCTAGTTCGAACTACTTATTGGTTAGTTCTTCCATATCACGGATTGTTTTCAATTCCATTGTTTATTAATTTAAAATATTCCATTATTAATTATGTTTAAGATTATGATTGGGAGTTTATTACTTTCATATATTTTTTATTATGCAAATTAAATATTCAGTACTAGGGTCTCTTTAATTTCAGTAGGTAGACATTTGACTTTTTGATTACATCTGCCCTGTCATGAAGTTCTGCTTATTTCAGTCGATATCTAGTTTCAGAGTTCAAACCTGTTGTTTTTTTGATATATGCATTTGCTGAGTTGTATTCTATGTTGTTAAAAAAGCAAATGATTGAACTGATCACGTATAATTGTTCTAACTTAGATTAGCGATTACGGTTTACACCCGAATCTTCAGTAACTAGTTTGAGAGTAAATATACCGTACGTGAACAATAAGATAGCACTAATTTGAATGCCGAAATCTTGTTCCTGCATAGCTGATAGGTGATACAGACTAGTTGTGTTGTCAATCTCAAGTAGCGTGGAACATGAAATATATGTGTGAGATGAAATTATCAAGACGTATGCTTGTGTGATAGAAGTAATAACAGCACCATTGGTAATGGAACAAGATTGCCCTTCAAATGCCGTAGTGCGGCCAACAATGTTGACAGTTTGCTCCCTCTCGAAGTGCTCTCACATGGTCATGTGTATACAACCACTGCCTTCTCGCGACGGTGGAGTTTTTACGAAATTAATGGGACGAAAAGCGAATGTCTGGCTCCTCAACCGAGTTGGTGGACATGGAGGGTGCACGTAAAGAAGTGGTAAACCTCTGATTCACAGCCAATGGTACACACGGACTCAGTGATCCTGAAGGAACCAATGGCGTATGATCGAATTATTGGTCACCAGGTTCCATAAGACTGCATCTCCTAAAGTTGCTTCACTGCCTTCTGGATTAGACCTACAGCTCAAAGGCTCGGGATGTGGCCCTCTAAGGAAACCTCCTGCTTCGATCTGGACACCTGGGTGGTATCACAGTCTTTACACAAATCAATGATAATTGCTACTGGCCCCACTGTGTATTTGGTGTCCCCTTAGATTAGACCTCTAGGTCAAAGGCTCTTAAAGTGACACCTCAAGAAAACCATCTGCTTTGGTTTTGGCAACCGGGAAGTATCCTAGCGCACGCACAAATCAAATGATGATTATAACTGAAAAAATTTATTCTCGTTTCAATTGTCAATCAGACAAATCACATTCACAATCATTTGTCAAAACTCATTTATATATATATATATATATATATATATATATATATATATATATACTACAATACTTGCTTACTCCCTTTTATTCTCATTTTGTGTATATTTTGTATCTCAACGTATTCAGCAACTCGCCTATGGTGAAAGTCCTGTTGTGTCTAAACGACTTCATGTCACTAACTGGTCGGAATTTGAATGCTACCACCTAATAAGAATACTGAAACAGTCTTTCTGAAACCACGTATACCATTCAAAGTGGCTTCCCTCAACCTTCGGAATGTCTCAACATTAATTTTTATTGTCTGCAGTTGTGTCCGTATGTTCTTTGCACCTTCAAAGTTTAAAGTACTTTTACAAGACTGGCAGGACCTTAAACTTACACTCACTCTGGATAGTGAGCAGATAGAAGTAGTCGATAAGTTCATGTATTCAGGTTGCTACTGGTGATGAGATCAGTTCATGTATAGTAAAAGCCATACTGATCTATGCCAATGTGGTCCATTCTTGATGCCTTCGTGATTTTAGTTTGGCTATAAAAGGTTAGATCGAAAACGCGACAGTGAGAGCACTTGTACTCTGTACTTGTGAAACCTGGCCTCTCTGAGTTGGGAGTGTTAAGCGACTGTGTGTTTGATTATCGTTGTCTCTGACGGACTGCTGACATCCAGTGACAACATCATATTAGTTATGCAGAAGTTCAGTAACTTGTATTCTGTTACAGCAACAATAATTCAATTAATGTCACCATCTTGAAATATTGAATTCGGTGGCTTGGATATGTCCTATGAATGCCGTCCTAGCGAGTTTCACGTTGTTTATTATTTGCCGACTCTCGGACTGTTTGAGAAAAGCGGAGTGGTGGTCAGTGCACGAAATGATGTCGTGGTATGAAAGAAAGCTGTTCAAGGCTGGCTTCTGTTGGACCTTCACGACTCCCTGGTTGAGATCCTAGAAATAGAACAACACAATAGCCTGAGACGCTATCGGAAATGGCTCAGAATAGAAACCAATGCCTATCCTTCTGTAACTTTTATATATAATTTAACGTAATTTTTAGTAGAAAGAATGCTTTCGGGTAGTATTTTTTATAACTGAACTCCCATTATTATTATTATTATTTCAGTTTCATACACTAATTTCTGTTCATTGTTGATCTTTGTGTTATACTCACCCCTCCATTTTCTATCTCTTCACAACCTCCCTGTTAGTGTGTGGCGCACATGTATTTGGTCTCCCCTCGTAATAGTGTTTGTGTGATCAAATAAGGCAGAAATGATTTGATTCTAGAAGGAAAGGTATTTTTTTGGAATGAAAAACAATAATCATATAACTAACTATAAGCTATGAAAAGTAAACTTATGTCAGTATCTCATTCATAATTTTTGATACTTATGAATATACTATTGCGAATATTACACAGATACAGTTAAAATGCCCAGTAGTCTTTTAAAACTTATCTAAGCCATATCGAACACGATCATTTTCAAAGTTTAAAATATTTCCGATCAAATTGTAAGGTGTGAATTACACATGATCAAAGTGCATTTACTCTAACAAAAAATCACTCCTTTTTTCGGTTTATTTTTTTCTTATAGATGCACTTACTATTGAATAATAAGTTAAACATGCAGCAACTCTTTATCATGAATCTGCACCTAAGATTCTGGTTCGTTAGTTGATTGTAAAATCAACATTAATATAAAATGGTTATGAGTCAGTTAGTATTGTGCGTATTACGACGTCCGATTATAATTGTATTTCTTGACCTTAAGTTAGCATTCGATTTTGTTATTCGTGAGGTATTATGACAGTGACTGTCATTGAGATGGGTACTATAGAAAAACATTAATCATGCACAGGCTAGCTACTTAAAAAGTTGCTGGTCGAGTCAGAGTTTATGGCAAACTGTAATTGAGATTGATAATTTTAAATAGTGTTCGTTAGGGTTGTCCGTTTTCCACAGTTTTATTTAACTTTGTAATAGCTTTTGTCTGGATTTTCAGGGGTTGATTTTCTATCAGGAGATTCATTTGTTGGCTTAGTATAAGCAGATGATGTAGTTATGTTTGGTGATAAAGCTGAGGAAATGCAGTCACCTGATAACCATAAGCAACAATGCAGGGATATTTTTGATGCTAATTCCTTCCTCCAAATTCAGAATGTTGCTTGAGGACTGGCATGCATTGTTGCTTGATGTAGTTGGGCTTATCGATTGTCTCACCGATCTCACTGGGACATAAGTTAAGTATGTCTGCTCATCGCCTACCTCGACAGGCGATGTCTTGAGTAGGTGTAGGTTAGGAGGAAGGTAGCGGCCCCCAAACCAAGAAATTCTATCAGTCTTTGAAGTCACTGGCAATCGAACTTAATAATGATTAAATGTGTAAGCAACCTGGTGAAATCCACGAGAGTAAAATATCGGATAGTTAGAAACTTTGGATGACGCGGCTCAAAACTGTCTGTAATGGCTCTGGTGCATCCATTATCTATCTTCCATTAGATCCTGAGTTCCTAAGTTCCTCATGATCTTTTTATTTCACTGGTTTATTGTATTTGAATAGTATCTCCGATACCCAGTCGCCAACTTTGAGTACATTTACTGAAAATTTCGGATTATTTCAATATTTCCATGTTCAAAGACGTAGAAAATTATAATTAAAGGTATATTCATAAATGTAAATCTCTTGTAGAGTTCTCTATTAATATTGTTAAGGTCTTTGGCTGTGACACTGATTCAAACACCTAAAGATCACAGATAATCCTTGCTGATCTAAGTGACTTAGGTTAATACGATCGCCTCCAACCATCTACAGTAACAGAAAGATCAAACATATCTAGTCATCATATTTTCGTGAAACGTCCTTATTAAATTCGTTATTCTTATTTTCAATCTGGGAACCTATTGGTTGATGAGAAAAGTCACGAGTTTTACAACTATAACATTTGAGTAGTTTCATCAATAACCATGACCTTAATTTTAATTACTTCGATCGATAAGTAACTGTTAATAAGTCGATTCATTTATACTCAATAAATGGTGAGAGAATAAAATATCAACGTCTAGAAATGGAAGATTTTCTTTCAGATCCTTCGTTAACAGATAACTCCTCATTTATAGTAAGTAATATATATTGTATCTTCTTCTCATTATGGTTCTACATTAAATAAGCTGATATTTGATGAGAATAAAGGTAGAGAGTTAGGTACTTGAATAAGTGGCTAAGTCAAAATATGTAAATTGTATCAAACAAGTTTATAGTACGTTGTAACACAGACTCAATGCTTAGTCTAGCTACAGAGGTTTCTAATGAATATCATAACTAATAACTAGACAACTATTTGCTGACTAATTTTCCATCGAAATGGATATATGCAAAAAGAAAAAAACCTATTTTTCAGTCCCCATTTAGCAGATACATATATTGACCGATCCTTTAATAATGGTTACGTTTAATCAACTCCATTGACCATCACTTAAATAGACATAGTGGATTCTATCATTTTTAATAATAACATACAAGTTGAATTCAATACAAATATTTCAACTTCATATTTAGTTGATATAAACAATCTTATATTCCATATATTTAAAATACACAAAATTGTCGAAAAAAAATATGAAAAGGCAGATATGTGAATTAATGATTAGCTCATTTATTGATTCTACTCTACTTTACTTTTCTATCTTTACTTACTTAACCCCGTTACACCTCGTGAAGAAACATAGGTCGTCCACCAGCATTATCTATTTAACACTGATCTTGGAAATACTTTCCAGTTTTTATCCATCCTTTTGATGTCTGATTTCAGTTCTCAACTCAATATGCTCCATGGTCTTTCTCTTTCTTTCCCCCTTCAGGATTATAGTTTATGTCTTGCCTCATGATGCAGTTTAGTGATTTACGTAATGTATGTACTATCGAATTCCAATGTCCTTTCCTAATTTCCTACTCAGATGGAACCTGGTCTGTTCTATCCAACAGTAGGCTGTTGTTGATGGTACCTGGTCAACGGACATTCAGTATCTTGTGTAAATAATTGTTTGTGAATGCTTGTACTGTTTTGATGATTGTTGTGATAGTTCTCGAAATTTCAACTCCGTGCAGTAGAACTAACTGTTTTGACGATCGTATTGAAGATTGTGATATTGATATTGGTTGACAGTTGTTTTGAGTTCTTTATGCAGTTTATTTGTAGGAATGCAATCCTTGTTTTGTCAGTTTTGCGTTTACTTCTGTTTCGGATCCTCTCTGTTCATTGATGATGTTGACCAGGTACATGAGAGTTTTCACCTGTTCCCTCGTTTCTCTATCAAATGTGATTAAGTTGGTGTTTTGTGTACTGTAATTGAGGGTCTTTGCTTTCGCTTGTGTATGTTGAGGCCTTCTAGTGCAGAGGCTACTGTTAAACTAGTCGTCTTGACCAGCATTTGGTGGTGTGCATGTGATAAAGGTGCTAGGTCATCTGTGAAGCATGAATCGTTAATCCTTGGTAGGCAACTATTTTGAGGAACGTTTAAGGTTACAATTATAAGTTCAGACTCTATTAGTGATAATAGACCAAATAAAGATAAAGTATTTCTGTAAGACTTTGGATTTTTAGATTTTAAAAGTTAGTAGTGACTAGACAATCAAAATAGGATGTACGTCACCAGTGTTATTGTTCAGTCTTGTCTAGCTGAAAGGGAATAGCACCATCGTCTGACTTAAGTTAAAGTCACAAACTATAGTAATATCCAGACGATATAGCTTGTTTACTTGACTAAAGAACAAACAGAATCTTATTAAAGTTGTTTATCTTATTAGAATGAGTAGATTAGATAAATTTGTTAACATTTCTAGGTGTACCTAACGATGATATTCAAATGATAAATTTGGGTTAGTTACCATTAACCTTGACGATATTCAGTAAATTGTTCAGCGTTGATTGATCTGTCATCTAACTTAGAAATGTTTTGTCTTGATAGATGATTCAGCCATGGCTAAGCGACATTTTCTTGGCTTTTTAATGACATTAAACCTTCTGTTGTTTAATGACAACAATATTCATTGTTAAAAGCGGTAAAATGGATTATATGACCTATATGGAAACTAATGATAAGTGCTGTCCACGAGCGTAGAAATAAGAACAGCCCAAGAAACAATTGTATTAAATTCAAAACATGCTATAAATGTGTGAAGGAATGATGTTTTCACAATGATTAGTTTTTACGATAATGCATAATTATGCTATTTATAGTTTTAAAAAGTTAAAAAATATTTTTGTTGTAAATAATAAGGGCTTGAAGTATCCATTTATTGATAAGCATAGATGTATTTAAATGAATCTATGTGAGTATATGTAAATCCTGGTCGGATTACATTGAGACAACCGTTTTCTAACACATTATATGGAATAGATAAGTTATGTCTAGCAGTGGAAATTAGGATTTGGGTTTCGACGTATTTAGGACTCATCAGTTAGATTCATGTTAATGTCATTATAGGTCTCGATGGATAGGCGAATTACTCATTAGGCATCTTTAAAGAAAGGTATTAGGTCTGAGTCCCAGGTTTCAATGTCACCAAATATGCCATTACAATAAGCTAAGAACTGTTAAATAGTAAAATAATCATGTTCTAAATCCCGATGCTAAACTCAATCTATCAACTTCATTTGAATAACTGTAGTATGAATGTCGTTATAATGAAAGAATTGTAAAAAGTTATTCCATTATTTTCTACTTGAACTTTATAGATCTATCCAAGAAAAGAAGTTTACTATGATTTTCATGATACTACAAATTATCAAGATAATTTTTGGTTTAGTCTCCCATCAGATTTACGAATACTTGAGAGTAAGCTAACAGTTTTTCAAAGTTATGGAATGTACGTGTAATTGATAAGTGTTGTTCAAACATAACTTGATATCTATGTTGATGATCAGACTGTTTTGAACTATGAAACATTTAATGTTATAATGATTGAATTTGAAAAGGAAGTTTTGCTACAAGAATGTTTTATCCGAAGTCAGCCGAGCAGATTATTCTTATAGCTAATAAACTAAAGATCCACTCACTGATAGAATCATTGAAATGGAGTTATAAGTTGGAATGCTTTACTGATTCATAAAACGTTAAAAACCAGTTATTTTATCAATAATATTTATTACATTCAATGAGTACTCTAAACTGACAATACTCTTGTTTTCGCTAGTAGTTAACTTTAAAGGATTATTCCAGGAGTTCAATAGTGTAGCTCAGATCCATAGAGTTCAGCCATGTATGATGTGCGATAAATGTTACTGGTGTTACTGGATGATGGTCAGACGAAATTGTGAATTGATGGAAGTTTAATTTGTAAAACATGTATTACAAAATAGTGGTTGAAAGACAAAGGTTCTTTAGGAGCATGTGGATACGTAATTTTGAATAAAATCATACTAGAACAACAATGATATCTAGTGCATACAAGTTTTTAGTATAGTAAACAAATGAGAATTAGCCAAATGATAAGTTCCATTAGTGACATTAAAAGTGACCTGAAAGACAAGTGGATATGATTGGTTAAGATATTGATTGATTTTCTATTGTGGTAGAGATGTATTTATATTAATGAGTGTTTGTGTATTATATTCCGTAGACCAATATACTTTCTCGTTCCAGGTTTTCAACGGCTGTCTAGTTTAGATTGTTTCGTGATATCAATAGTAACTATATCTTTATAATGTTATGATTTACCTTCCTTAAACAGATTTAATGACTGGTTATACAGAGTGCAAATTGAAACATTTAGGATCTTACCATGGGTTAATAATCATTCTCATTATTTTCCAAATCTTCGGAACTCTAAGATTAAACCTACATAGATATAATATGATATATTTATGGAGACAATTTCTAATTATTGAACTGATAGAGGTTAGATTAATAAGAGTTACATACTAATCACAATGAATAGTCATTTATATAATCTATGAATCTTAATTTTGATGAAGTTTTGTTCTCTGAGTTGGATGGTTTAATTGTGGAACGACATAATCAGCACAAACTTCAGCTACAAATCTTCTCCATATTATATTAATCTTAAACATTATCCTATCTTGGCACTTTATTGTAATATATTTAAATTACCAAGCAACTTGTCAAGTGATTACCAATTGATTAAAGTATAACGGTCAATATATTTCAACCTGTGGAATCTAGCTATCAACTATTCAGTGCTTGCTAACTTCTTGATAGTATACATTTCTATGTTCACTTTGTATTGTTTTGCTTAAATCTTCCCATCAAGATTTAAGACTGCAATTGATTAGTCTGTTATTGGTATATGTTCATACTATGCGTATTGCCCTAATTCACAAGCTTTATAAGCAAAGATGGACAGTGGTTAGCAGTGGAATCCAGAACGTGCGTTTCGTCCCGATTGGAACTCGTCAGCTGGATGTGCATGCATTTCAAAGTTGATGTTCACTCTGGGACTCGAACCCAGTACCAGTCGCTTCAAACGCCATCGCGTTATTCACTGAGCTATGTATTGATTATACTACTTAATAGTAATAAGTAGCTTGAAAGTTGTAAAGTTCAAAAGTGAAATAACTCTAACAAAATATAATGTAAAACAACATACTACAAATTCATCCAAGTTAAAACTAGCCTTTCACTACGCTATATTGACAACAACACTTGATTCCCGATTCATTTTTAATATAAGTAGATTTGTACATACATCAACCAGCTTACAGATATGAGGGATTACAACCAAACTTTTAAAATCACAACTGAATTGTTAATTCTTCTGCTTTTCAAAGTCTCAGCGCTTCATATTTTTTTGGTGTAGACCGATCACTCAGATACATCGGATTGTCAGATGTTATATATTTTCTGTAAACTGCTACAAACTGAAATGATCAACTACTTTACTAAGTTCTACACTATTGTTTTTTTTTAACTACATTCTCAAAAATGTTTTATTACTTTTCATTTAGATATGTCCGTTATAGATTATCTACGACAATTTGCACATCTTTCATCTAGAAAATATGATTTATATAGACGTATATATAATCACTGGTGTCAAGGCTCTAAACTTTCTATTGATGTAAGTACTAGTTAGTTGTAATAATGATTTGTCAGTTAATTTTGAAATTAGTTTCTCCTTTTATATTTTGAGGGATATTATAATTTATGGATGAACCAATTAGATTTAAGATAGCCGGTTTTGGATTTTAGTACACTCATTTAAAACTACCAAGTAGATGAATGTTCTCCAGGTCACTTAAGCCTCGCTTGAAGGTAATTCAAAAATTATAGTCTTAACGTAATCAAAGTTTCTTAAGACTCCTCAAATGCCCTGCTATGGCCGAGAGTGGGAAGAGTCAGCTCTCTCTCTCTCCCTCACCAAATGCTCTCAAGTGACCATGCGCATACAACCACTGTCAGGGAAGTCCTAATCACTACCTTCTCGTGGCGGGGATAATGCTTACGAAATTAAGAGGATGAAAAGCGAATACACGGTGCTTTAACCGGGTTGGTGGACACAAACAGTTTAATTTCCTAGGATTCTTGAAACGTTTCTACATTTTTAGGAGCCAGTAACCCATAATAGATTCACACGCCATTTGTCCCTCCAGGATCCTGAAGCCCAATATACACCATTGGTTTGGAATCAGGGTTTTTCACTTCCCCTAGGTGGATCAGTAGTGGAACCCGGAAGGCAGGTTTCGTCACATTTCGAAATCATCAGCAGGATGTGCTGTATAGCAAATTATGCTTTTTTAAGAATATTCAAAAAGAAATCTTCATTATGATGGCAGAGAAAGTATCTCCTATATATTGTATCATAACACTATAATGAATAAAACAATGTAATGAGTCATTCGCTGTCAAAAAACATTATGTTGGGTTAACAATAATATATTAATAAAGGACTGGAAATAAAACTAAGTGTTCATAAGCATAAAATAACATGAATACTAGTGTTCGTCACAGAAAATTGGACTACATAGAGCTGTGACATATCAACAGGTCACAAAGTGGTGAATCGTAATACATAAATAATGAAACGATTATTCAGTACTATTGATTATAACTGTTTTTGGTTCGACATCTTCAGAGCTGCGGATTTATGAATAAGCTTCAGTAACGTCTGGAAGCTTGATCCCTGCTGGATTCTTGTATGTATACTGTTGAATCACATGCTAACAAGAAATCGTTTAACTAGTAATCCCTAGTTTTTAAGAATACATCGATTGAGGTCAATTTTTGACAAATACAACCTACATATTAAAACAATCTTCACAAAACCACTTCAAATGAATAAATAATGTGTCTAAATGCATAATTTGATCACAACACATTCACAGTTCATAAAGGCAGACAAATAACTCCCAATAGTAAACAAGCTGTAGAAATTTTAAGTTTTATACTGTGAAAAGTTAAATTATATACTCTTTACTTCATAATTGAAACCAATCATGATATATTTTGAACTAGAATTAACACAATGTAAGGAAGACGATAAGAACTGATAGGAAATAAAGATTTTGTAGAGATTATTAAGTTTTTGATTGAGATCATCAATCGATTGATATTAGACCACCATTGAAAACCTGGAATCACTTCTAAGGAGTCCCACAATAAGACGAAACGTCTGTTCAGTGTTCTGGATAGTATAGTAATTTCAATGATTGAGATCATGAATCATTTGAACCTAGACCACCATGGAAAACCTGGAAGCACTGGACGGCTGTTTCATGTTATTGTGTGACTTCTCATCAGTGCACACACACGATCCTGTATCACGAAATCAGTGGTCTAGAGGTTAAGCGTTTGCGCACGAGGTCACTAAGTCCCGGATTCAAATCTCTCGAGGCGGGATCGTGGATGCGTACTTCTGAGGGGTCCCACAATAGGACGAAATGGCCATCCAGTGCTTTTAGGTTTTCCATGGTGGTCTAGCTTCAAGAGATTCATGATCTTAACTATTAAAATATCATGTGTTAGAAGTAGTGTATATGCTAAAAACGAATTTTACACTGGTTTAACATAAATTGAATGCAAGATTTTATACTGAATAAATATCACATTGAATTACTACATAATGTTGAGCTATTTATCATGTTATGGCACTTTGAAATAATTAGTTTAACGAAACCTGATGGTCGACTACTTTTAGAAAACAGACAGAAAATGAACATGAATGTGTTACAATAAAAAAAGATAACGTGTTTGAAATTCAGAAAGTAGACTTTCAAAAGTCTACCACAAACGATTTTGTACCCTAAATGGAATGAACCTATACGGATAAAGTAATGTATCATCATAACGAACAGTTCTATAATCTCTATGCCTTTATCTGATCTATTCATTATAGATTGACATACATAATGTTGAATGTTAAATAGATTAAAGTTAATGAATGGTTGAAGATATTTTTTCTGTACGCATAGCTCCGCTTTCTTCATTCGGATTGTTACTGCTTCAGCCGTTTGAAGGAGTTTAAGTGTGACATCTTCTAGCAAAAAAAATTACTGACCATATAAATAATTGAAAAAGATTGGTTTATACTGGCAGTATGACCAGTTTGTACTAAACGGGCCATTATCGAGCTGTTCACTTTTTCAACCAGACCTTTGTTTAGCCTTGCCGGAAGGTATTCGTGAGCACGAAAATGTAAATTACTAGCTTTGTACCTCTGCAGTACAAACGAAACTTGATCAAAACCCTTAGTTACCGAATACGCAATATATGTTGTGCGGACATTGTTGAAGATGAGCTTAACACCTTGCATAATACTCTTAGGGAAAACGGTAACCCTAGTAAGTTTATAATTAAATATATGATCACGAAGGTGAAACTAGGCGAAATAAAAACCATGAAGAAGAAACCCCTGTTCATGCGCCTACAATTCAGAGAGGGTACGGCGAGCGAAATATTAACTCAAAGACTACGCTGAAGAGCTACGATTAGTGTTTTTTACGCGCCCAAAGGTTACACCGAGGCTAAAAGATGAATTACCTAGAATGACCACCTCATTTTGTGTTTATCAGTTCGAATGCTCCTGTGGAGCGAGCTATATTGGACGAAGTTCTAGGAATTTACATTTTCGTTCTCGTGAACACCTTCCAGCATGGCTTAAGAAAGGTTTGATGAAGTGAACAGGTCGATATTGGCCCATTTAGTACAAATTGGTCATAGTGCTAGTATAAACTAATCTTTTTCAATTATTTATAAGGTCAGTAATTTTTTGCCAAAAACCGGTCAGACTTAAACTCCTTCAAACAGCTGAATCAGTAACCATTCGAATAAAAAAACGGGAGCTATGCGTACAGAAGATTGTAGTTAATTGTGATATCATTTCACTTACTTAATTCTTGATAAAATTATCTTTTTTTTATATATATATTTTATTAATAGAAATTAAATAATACATTTGAAGATATTGTACCAGTACAAGTTCCAAATAATTGTTATACATTAGTATTTAGTCTAATTGGATTACAAGTTATAGATTATCAATATATTGATTTTGAAACATTCTGTTGTATATGTATTGCTGCAGAACGTCTTGTATTCTATAAAATTATGTGAGTTCATTTTAGTATGTACTTTTTCACAATTGTATAATAATATACAAACTAAACGTAACTTGATAATAATGATGATGGTGAAGAGGAAACTTACTTATTAGATATAGAGTCATATATTCATTATTGAGCTACATTATGTATGTGACAGTTAGTGATAACATAAAACTGCCTAAACTGTAATAAACGAAACAAGATTAGAACTTGAAAGTTGAACAGATTTACTAATAAACTACCACTTGACATATCAATAGTTTAGTTATGAAATACTTTATATTTACTAATCATATATTAAAGTTATTCATAATTTACTATTCATATTGTTTCGGTCTTATTTTTATTGAAAGAATTAGTTAAAAATTATGTTGAATGACATGACTTTATTCATGGTTTTTTCTGGAATGTATTCTATTTTAACAGATATCCGTCTACCAAACAAAGGACGGGTTTACTGCGCAGCAGTTCGTTCCGTCCTATTTTATGGCAATGAAACGTGGCCGGTGAGAGTAGAGGATATTCGTAGGTTACTAGTATTCGATCATAGGTGTCTTCGAAACATTGCTCGTATATTCTGGGACCATCGAGTAAGTAACTCAGTTGTTAGGAAACGGGTACTAGGTAAGGATGACAAATCAATTGATGAAGTAGTGAAAATTCATCAGTTGAGATGACTGGGATGCGTATTACGTATGCCCAACCACCGACTGCCCCGACGTGCGATGTTTTATGTTGTAGGAATAGGTTGTAAGAAAACTAGGAGCGGCCAGACCAAAACATGACACAAATCCATGAAGTCACTGAAAAGTGGACTGGGTCATGTTGGTAGGTGTAGACTAGTTGGTTGGGGACCGCGAGACGATAGCAACTGATGGTTAGAGACCTTGAATGTGAACTGGCTCAAAATCGTTTAGAATATCGCAGATGCATCCACTCCTTGTGCTCTGCTTAATTTTAATCTTCTGAGTTCCTCATGTCCCCTTTTTTCTCTTTCCAAATTTCTTTTACTGGATTATACTTCTTGAGTAACATCTTCGAACCCTAATGTTTCCGATTACTGCTTATACTTTTAGTACCACTAATGCATCTCTGTGCTAATGTGGTATGGCAACTCGAACTGATGTACGCACGTACGAAGTTCTAAAGTTGTTATTAACTGACTGACTAAATGACGTACACTAAAAAAACTTTAGTTTCAATGTTTTGCTATGCAGAGTTGCTCTTTGGGTCTATTATTAATATACACATTTCCTATATGCGACATCAGCTGTCTACATCAATGAGAAAATCAAAAGTGAGTAGAAAGGTTTAATCGACTAATCCAAATCCAGAGATATGCATAAACACGTTCTTCAATCTAGATATGTTTCACTCAAAAAGTTGAGCTAGATTATTAGCTAATAGCACTTATCTGTGTTTGAATAATTAAGTAAAATCTTGATTTATACCGTACACTTGTCAACATTCCTCGATTATCTTGTTACTTTGAAACGGTGTCTGATTAACCGTGCCTATTATATTGATAAATCATTTTGACATACCTTCACGACGTTGACAAATACATCACTGAACAGTAAGTGATATTTCAACTTAGTAAAACGATAATGAATTACAACAAACAAACGTGATTATCAAGTATTTTGACTACATTGTTTGTTGCGTAATAACTGGTTGTCTATACTTATAAGGGAAAACTCCATAGGGATTAAGGCTTCAGCAAATATATTTTCTATGAGAATCAAGTAGTTTTTAAGATACTTATTGAGTTTGCTGAATCACGTTTGCATAAAGGTCTTCAGTTGTACAAAAAACTGTACTTGTAGTGTGATGTGTGCTACTGATGTCGACAGATATAAGTAGCATGTATCATCAATCGAAAGTGAAATGTCTGGAGGCAGAAGGTTAAGAAGATCGAAGAAAAGAGGACGAGAACAGAGAATCGTTGATGTGAAAACAAAGAAACAATCAAGTTTGAGACAATCAATTCACACATTGCAAATGAAGTATTCACTGTATGGCTCGCAGATTTTACTAATAGATTTCGTAATTTTGTGTCCGAACATATTTAGTTGTAAGATGTTAGTTGGAAGTAGCCAACAAGACCATCATCTTATCTCAACATAGTGCACGCAATGTTAAGTCCTTTAGACTAGTGGTCACATTGCAACTTAGTCGATAGGATTAAATCTACACAAAGAAGGACATGACATACATGACATTGATCACCATGCAGGAATCAATCAATAGTAAACATTTGATTGTCCCCATTGGTTTCCTCGTTCACTACAGTAATAGCAGAACAAGGTAATAACAAAATGACTTGATCTAGTTCGAGAAAAATAAATAACTAGTAATATTACCAATGATAAACAGTATTTATTGAAGCCTACTACTACAGGTTATTACTTCTTTAAATCGAAAGAAGAAATCTACTTTTAAATTAATAAATATGGATATAAATTAATTATCATCCTGAAACTTTATAAAAGCTTAAATAGATTTAAGTAGTTATAACATTGTTTCTAATTAGGGTTATGAACTATCTTTAAGCGACTATAGACTTACCTTGAGAGTGTCCATTTAATAAACAAGACGAAATTGGATTTATGAACCTGTGTGAGAAATTAGAATTATTATTTATAATCGATGATTAAGTTTAGGAACTAAATTTCAGGTTTTCATCACGAACTAACATCAGCTATAATGTCAAAACGTTGTTTATCCATATAGATGAGTGAATTTCGTGCCATAATCCGAGACCTGTTATCTTAAACGTGATTGATTCTCGTTGAAATATATGCTCCTAATCTAGATTACATGTTAGATTTGATGTGACACAATGTACATTCAACAATATTTATGTAATTAAACAATATACTTCTACTTTAAATCTCATCCATAACTTTCGTAAGTTTATAAACAAAAGAATGTTAGAGAATTGTTACATTTTAGATGATGTTGATTGGTAGTGAATACTCCACAATGTTTAACTCTAACTATAAACATTAGTCTGATCTTTCAATATATTCACTTAAACAATTTTTTTCTCACTATAATGAATAATTCAGTGACTCAGGGTTTAGTAATCAATAGACTAACTAAATATTGTCTTCTAGTTGATCATTCAATGTAATCAGAATAATAGATTCTCAAAGGAAAGTTATCATTGTTATACTCATTCAATGTTTTCTTTTAATAAGATTGACAACCAAAGAGGAACACGTTGATTTCATTACATTAGATATCAGATTTATTTCAAGTCATCTTAATTATTTTTAATTTCAGGAAGGATTCAAATATATCTATACCATCAAAGGATATTTTAGAAATGATAGAATTTCAACGGTTACAATGTCAATATACACAACTTAATCTAAATCAGAATATTAAACATTTTCTTGATTTAATACTTCTTTAAAATAATGAATTATATATATATATACATTCTACGTATAGATCACTCCCCTACTTCGGTTTGGGCACCCGTGCAATATCTCAAACCTCACATAAATCGAATGACTTATCTGGCGTATATTTATTTGGTGACTCCTTGTACCAATGTTTATGTGTTTAAATAGTTATAGATCACTCGTAAATGTGATTAATTATTTAATGTTTTTCATATCTATATAAGAACATTTCAAAACGGAACTAGATGCTGTGATGGACATTCATAAAAATGATTTTATTTGAGTTACAGCTTTAGTAACTATTTTTAGATAAACAATATACATGTTAAAATAATAATTTAGTGTATCATTTTAAATGTATTATAGATTTTTGTAAATGTATGATTGTTCTAACTGATAAACTACATAATGATGTTACTATTCACTATTTGTGCAAGTGTCAGTTGTAATTTTTTACAGAAATACTTACAGTTACTGGGTAAATATTGAATAAAACTGATATATTGAAGTTGTTCTATTGAAAATCATTGTCTGAATTTTGTGGAATAATCACTAAGTGAACTAATCAAATCTTTGTACTCTTCTGCTTCTAAATGTTTATTGAAGCATTAAATATTGTCCTGTTTTTTCACTCTTAAGTTATGAGTAATTAATTGTAGACCTATTACTTAATTTTTCTTTTGTTTATGACATAGTTATTTCCATATCGTAACCTTCTTATTTGTACTGATATGCGGAGAAAAAATTAACTTTTATTATCCACATATGTTTGAGTTGTAAACTGAACTGTACAGCAAAAATTATCTACTTGTTATGCTTTAGCTACCGGGTAGGTAAGGTTGAGAGACTGCGCCTTGAACTAATGGGCGTTAAACACTGATGTATATAAGTACAGTTTCTACGCTGTGACTGACTGATAGGAGTCAGACCAACCCCCCCTCACTAACTACTCATCAAATAATCTCACGAGAATCACTGGCACGTTCAATCATAGCATACAAATCATACTAGGTACTTGTATCAATATGGATCAAAGTGTGAAAACCGTTTACGAAGAAGGGAGGTGAAAGTGAGGGTTTGCTCCCCCTTATTACTCTGTCATTTTATGTATATTAAGGTAGTTGTAATCATTAAAATCAACAGAACATGATTTTCAAGAGAGCTAAAGAATACGTAATCCAGTTTTGATAGAGATTTTCATAAATTCTGCCTTACTACTTACTCTCATAAAGCTATTAGCATTAAGTAGTGAGACGTCAAACTTATTTTTCTCTGGTTTCATTTATATACATATTGATTGCATGTTTATTAAGTATTTTCGGTTTATTATTTTCTTAATACCCTAGTTCAAAGCTTTTATTTGAACCGAAATTTGTTGCTATAGTATTTTCCACTCATAAAATAGAACCGATTAATTGTATACCCAATATTCCATTTCCCATCATAAATGTTGTTGTACCGTGTTAATACTGATACCCAATTAGTATGCTGGGTGGTGGTCTAGACATGTGTGTATATAAATGAATGTCTGAAACATAATCTTGAACAGGTGAACATTAGTCTTGCGTTCAAGGCTAGTTAGTATTAGGGTCAACCTTTAGGCATAAAGTATCAGTTTACTTGGTCCTTGCTGATTATTGATAACATAAGTTCGTCTAAGCGTATTGGTTAGTTGTAGAACATAACGACAACTATTTCTGTTTCGCTTTTTACATCCATTGAAAAGTATGCATTCCTGATAACAATGAGTATAAATGTACCAAATTGTTATACATATAGAAGGCGAATGTACTGAAATATGTATTTATTTCCTAATGCATTTATACATGAAACATGTGTACAGTATCAGTTTAGGTAATCTAAAGTAAGACAAAAATTCAACAAAGCAGAAACCACTACAAATCTAAATTAGTATCGATTAGTATCTGATAATAATAACAAGTTACTATTGGGATCAACCTCCGTCTATTTAATTGCTTCGTACACACACAAGATTATTACCGAATAATTTTGCAGTGGAAAATTCAAACAGTAAAACTACAAATTGATCAATAAATCACATATAATACATCCCAAATCCAAAAGCGAATCCAGGCTTTACTTGATCACCAGGTTGATATGTCATTGGGAAACAATAATTTAATTCAATGCGTAAAATTCCAGCAAAACGAAATACTATACCCATACCAATTACAGTACGAGGTCGACCTTTTAATTCATTTAAAAAATATTGACTAAATTCATTAACAGTTCTACAAGTAGAAGATGAATCCATCAATTTTTGAATAGGTTTTTCCAATGTAGAACCTATTTTATTCAAATGAAACAGTAGAATTAAGATAGAAAATAAAACACATAGCTTATATGAATTAAAACTATTTTAAAACGAATATATATGGAAGTGTTATGTCCTGATAAGCATAATGAATGGTAACTTTTGGGATCCATTTATAGACAAATACTATACGTATACTTTTATCGTATAATTGGTTAATCACTAAACTATACATATTCGTGTCCCTCTTATTATGAGCATTATTTTGACCCATAGACTATTATTATACGATTTACCGTTCTTGAGTTATGTCCTGTCTGTTAATTACTGCCAACCACATTCACAGCCACATTTAGCTAAATCTTGTACAAATGTTGTTTCCTATTTTATTGTACGATGTGATCTGTCTGGTTGGTATATAAACCGAGTATGTTTGAAATAAATGATTCATATGTCAGAAGCTGAGATTGGTGTTCTGGACTCAATAGGCAGGGAGAAAGACTGATAAAGACTCTAGACTGCTCGTAAGGGTTTTATGCGTCATTGATCCGATTGGTAATTCACTGCTCTCTAATTGGCGGTATCATTACGTTATATATTAATAGTACACAAGGCGACAATTTATAACAGGAAGATTTCATATCTATCTGCAAAATAACAGAATAAATGTGAACAAATGTTTAAACTGTAAACAGAAATCAAGACGTTATAAGTGAGACCATCATCAAATAAAAGTTGAGAATGTCTACATATATTTGGATCAATAATTGAAGTTAAAATTGGACGTCTTATGAAGGATTAGTTGTTCGAAAATTTAGAAAGTCTTGCATGTTATTCTTCTTCATGAATAACAATACTATGTTACTCATGAGAAGCAAAAATGATAGTGTAAAATGGAGAGGGGACAAGAATTTACATAAAACTTGGGCTTATTTTAATAAGAAAGAATCCTTGATAGAAGAATTAGCCAGTGGAGCTGTTTTGTGTATTTATAGTTGTCATACATCTGGGATATAAACTGGGCGCTCGAATTGAAATGTACTGGCGAGGTCACTACCTTAGCCTTTGACCTATAATCCACAAGTGAGTATATGTAATCTGACGGTAACTAATGATCATAGATAGGCTCATACGCCATTTGATCACTCAGGATCTTGGAGCCTACTTACATAAGCGGTTTGGAATCAGATTTTACTGACTCCTCTGGCAGTGACTATAAACCCGTGGCCATATGAAGTCATTTCGAGAGAGAGGACTGTCTCTACTATTGATCGTAACACGGCGTTTGGGGGAACCAAATAATATTCCAATGTTGTTCTGATTAGATTAAAGCTTATAATTTAATTTGCGATGGCTTCTATTTATATAGTGAACACAAACTCCGGGATCCAGGTACACTCTCCTGACGAGTACCCAAACAGGACTGCGATTGATCAATCTTTTCTGGCATATATGGGTCCTATGCAGATTGTTTCGATATTTTATAAGCAAAGTTAGATAGTGGCCAGCATTGGAGTTTGAAAAACACTTGTTAACTGAATGTATCTGCACGCTCCAGCCCCAAATTCCCTGATATAGCCGAAGGAATAGAGTTCGTTTTCTCTCTCGAAATGCTCTCACATGGTCACGCGTATGCAGTCACTGCTAAGGAAGTCCTACTCACTGCCTTCTCGCGGTGTGAGTATTGTTTACAAAATTGATGTCTTCTTGTATTAATGTTTGTAATTAAATAAATGAATATGCACACTCCAGAACTGAAGTTTACAACGTGACTCGAAACTAGTACCGTTCGCTTCAGTTACTTGTGAATAACTGAAACTAGGTTAATTAGATTAAATAACTTCTAAAATAAATTACTAAACATTTCATTCAATAAAACATGTGATATGATATTCATTCAACTATTTCTTAATAATAACAATCTTAATTAATTTACCGGCAAGAAAGAATCCATGTAGACGTAATTGAGCAGCTAATGAACCTTCTTCAGCACCCCAATACGGTAATGGAGTGTATAAATGAGCTCCAGTTAACCAGAAAGCATCAGCACCAATAGGTGATGATGGTGAGTTAGTAGATACAGGTGTTGATAATGATTGTTGATTATTATTATTATTAAGTGTTGCTTCAAAACTATCTAACGTTTGAACATTTGGTACTAATAATGGCTCTGATGGACTTACAGTACGCCATTGAAATCCTCTAAGTTCTAAAGGTCCACCCAAAAAAAATCTATCAGAAATATGAACCTATAATATAATTTTTAAATGAATAAATAATTAACAAAAGCAAAATAAATACTAAACAATGAAGACTATTTACAATAGGATATATAGATCTAAGCTACTTTAAAAGAACAATAATGTTCAATATCAAGATTCTCGAATGTAAGAAGGTTGTTTTTCGGGTGCTGCTTGATACCAACACTATTCATTGAATGTATCTAAGAAATAGTAAGACATGCTTTGGTTATCTTAGTGACTAAATAGATTCGACCTTTATAATGATCATAGCATACAGCCATTTCCCAGAAAGTACGACCTATGTAGCGAAATTTCGAAAAAGAGGAGAGCTTACCCTAAAGACTATTCTCTCCTTATATATACGCTCAGTTAGTTGTACACAGATCGACAGAGTAGGTATATATTCAAAACGCGTAAACCTGATGATGTGGACAGGGATTGGTGAATGAGCAAAGATAGATACACTTCGCTGTAATTGGCAATATAAATGACTATTTCTAGATTGTAGCTCTGTTGGGGATGCTATATATCCAGAAATCACTTGATAAAAACCTTATTTTTGTAATTTTATTTTGAAAACCTGAATTTTTCATTACTGAAATTGTATTAAACTAATTCACCTGGTTATTTAAGTATAAGTTACATAGTAAGTGTGTGTGGGGGGAACTGATACGACCTGGTTGTCCAAACAGAAATGGTAGCGGGGTTCGAACAGAGAACTTAGTGGGACTGTGCATTTATGTATCATGTGAACTATATGCTTGTTTGCTTATCTACTGTATCGATAGAGTGAGCATTTTATTATATATATAATACTTACGGGATGCTTAGTCAAAGAATGAATCAATCCAGAAGAAAATGTCACTTCTCCAACAAGCCAGTCACATAAACGAAATGGTTTCTGAAGCAATCCCTCCAATTTTAATTGCAATGCACGATCAACTAAAGAACCTGTATCACTGAAGAAAAGAGTGCAATGATTAGTTCTAAGTGTTGGGGACGATAGATCCCCAAAAACTCATAGTTGTAATTTTATCTTGTGGAGCTTGTATGCAGATGTATACGTGAGCATTTCTTACCACCCACGCACATAGTTGATTGACGAATTTATCGATTAAATGTTTAAAAGTTCCATGGCAATATCGATATATATATATACATTTTAGAATTGTCTTGTGAAAAGTTTGCTGGTTTCTGGTTGCTGCAGAATATACTTCCGTTCCAAGCTTGGTCTTCTCTCTCTAGATAGCGGGGCTGGGACGCGTCAATAGTTAGCTTACTGATCGTTGGTCACCGAATCTCGTTCGCGAATTAGGTGAACCCGTTAAGCTTCAAACCTAACACTAAGTAGTCAATAATTACATTTGGATGCAATTAATACTTTATAAATATTTATATGGTATCTGTGAACAACACTCGATGAGTAAAACGCTTTGTGTAAGCTTCTATTTTTAGAGCATAATTAATTTACATTGACTGAACATCAGGTACCGATTCCTGATGAGTGTCGACCCATAACGACGGCATTAAAGGCTAGAAAAACGTCACAAAATGTAAGGTGAGATGATAGCGATTTGAGTCCGAAAAGAATAATCAATTCACCGTAGACTAGAGGTACGAATGTTAACTAGCACCAGGACCTAGGTCCAGAGTTTCCCCTAACGACTATTTTTAAACACATGAACATTAAAAATGAAAAGAACGAGGTTAATTAAAGAGTGAGCGAATACAAACATACTTTTGTATGCTATTTTCGCCTGTTGAAGGTGGCATATATATATATATATATATATAAACTACAAATATACTAACTTTTTTCTTGCTGCGCTTCTTACTTTCATCTACCTCGGTTATTTGGAATATAATTTCGTTCCTGTTTAACCGTGTTCTGATTTGGGGACTTGTCGAGTAGTGTCCAAGAATACCAAGCAATAGGAGTAACCAGGTCGTAATAAGAGAAATTATAACACATACATTACTTCGACTGCAAAGCTACTGCAAAGGTTTCTAAATTGAACATTGTTTGTCAGGCCACAGCGAACTGTACTCGAGAATGACTACGGCAAGTGGAGTTTGTCAGAACTGTCCACCTTATCCTAAATCTAGTTTGTCACTGGACAAAAAGGCTGTCCAGTGCTTCCAGGTTTTCAATGATGATCTAACTTAGACTCATCAATTTAATTTGTTTACTTGTCCTCCGAAGTGGTTTACACTGAGTCGCGAAAGACCAGAAAATTTAAAAATCATAACCTTCACCCAATGGGATATTACGAATATATTCTATTTATTTGTGTAACAATCTGCCCAATTTATTTGAAATTATCAAGTTAGACCTTGGTAACTGATGTTTAGATCTCAACTGTAGTCGGTATTATTTCCCATTACGCTGTACCAATTCGAGACACATCAACTTGCACTGAAATACATTCATGATAGATCCTACTTTGTCAGTAATTAAGTGAACATTACAACTAAAAACAACATATCCAGTTCCAAATTAATTTGAAATTATCTCGTTAAATCTTTATGTTGGAATTCGGTACTAAAATTTCATTGTGCTCGTTATTATCTGTCTACTTTTATTATGCACTTACTGTGTAATACAGAGTCATTTCAGGAAAATGTATTCAACGAGTTCCTGAAGTACAACTCATCATCTACAGAAATGTTATTGAATCAAGTACTATTGTGGTATGTGCTACTGACGTCAACAGAAATAAGTAGTATGTATCATGAATCGAAAGTGAAATGCTTGGAGGCAGAAGGTTAAGAAGATTAAAGGAAAGACAACGAAAACAGAGTGATTGGTGCGGAAACTAAAGAACAATGAAGTCTGAGACGATTGATTGACTTTTTGTAAATGAAGTATTTACTGTGCGGTTCTCAGATTTTACTAAGCTGTTCTGTCATTTTGTATTCAAATACATTCGATTATCCCCACTTGTGCCCTCGTTTAATATATTATTCTAGATTATTCTGTAAATCTCTACTTTTAATCAAGTTTACCCTAAAAGAATGAGGATTCTTTCTAAGCTATTAAGCAAAAAATTATTGTACAAGAAAACAACCGGTTAAAATCAATTTCAACCATTAAATGATCCGTTATTTGATAAGTTTTATGGAAATACTCACTGAAATGATATAAAATATTAAAATAACATTTATTCATTTTACCTAGAAGAAATATCACTAACATTAGACTGTCCTGTTTGACAACCAGGAGTAATGGAGGCAATTTCTTGGCTTATTCTACAGAGATACCCAGCATCTGGAAAGACTAAATCAGGACGAGCATCTGATTCGAAGACATGACGAAGACTAGATTTCACTGCTGGTCCGCATTCTTTGAGGACGCCTAACGGTGCAGTAGGATCTAGAAAAAAGAAAACATAACCACTTACAATAAATTACAAGATTATTAAAGGTCTTTTTTTAAACCGAACTACTAAATTTTAGAAAAAGTTCTGTTGAAATGAAGCCTACCAACTACGAAAACCGATGTTAGAGACAGCCGAAATATGTTACACGATATAAAATAAGAGAAGAATGTTATCTAGGTTGTCTGTAATTTGAGACGGTTTTTATTACGTTTCAGGATAATCTTTTTATATTTATTTAACTGTACCCCGAACTCTGTGAAGACTATCAGTTCTCATGTAAAGATAATGTATGAATCTGCACATTAGTCCAGTTCATATATTGGTATCTGGGATATCATAATGTCCAAGCGGAAAAAAAGTCTATCAGTATGATACATTGAAGAACGAAATACAGTACTCACATTGCTTTCCATTTTATTTATAAATCTTAAAAAAAGTGTAAACCTCACACTACCAAACTCACTAATGTTAGCAACAGTGAGACGGATTATACAACGTCTCAGTAACAATAACCCTTGAGAACTTTAAAAAACAACCAACTACCTCACTAAAATCCGTTATCCAGCAAATCACTTCAGATATGAGTAATCAGCGAAACCTGTTAAGACAATGCCAACCCATCTACAACATATTCATAGGAAACTTCTAATATTCATGGAAATTCGCCAGCACTATATATCATTTGATATTACGTAAAAAATTTAGCCTAGCAAGTTAATTATCTGGAAACATTTAAGTGTACATGTAGTTAGTCTCATAGTATTCTGTTACAACAAAATAAACATGGAGATAGTCATACACACACAAATTACAAGGTAAATCTTAAAGAAATTTACATTGAAGCTAAATGTTCAATATAAGCAATCAATATTAGTCTATTTAGGTCGATCAAGCCTTCTATGGAAACACTTGGGTTGAATTAAAAATCTGAATTGAATATAGGATGAAACTTATTTTCTTCCAATATACAATATGATAATCTTGTTTATTTCAAATGAGTATACCAACAATTGACTGATCACTGGGTGGTGATCATGTATGTCATCAATGTCAGGTCCTTCTTAGTGCAGATCGAGTCCTATCTTGATATTATAAGATAAAATGGTGGTTAGAAGTAATTAACAGGACCATACCAACGCCAAGACAGTATCATCGGGCCCAGATGACTAACCTCCGGTTCTTTTTAAAGACGGTGGAGACTTTCTGGCTAAGGAACTGACTGTGTTGTTCACAAAGGTCTGGGAACTAGAGAGTGTACCAACGTCATGGAATGATTCGATAGTTGTCCTTATCTTTAAAAAGGGTTCACGTCGTTTCTGTAACAACTATCGGGGGATAAGTCTACTTCCTATTGCGTCCAAGCTATTGGCTTCCGTTATACTTCTTAGGTTGTTCAAAACTCGAGAAGGATTGACTCGCGAGGAGCAGGTTGGGTTTCGTTCTGGTCGATGATGTATTGATCATATCTTCACCCTCCGCTAAATGTTAGAACACCGCCATACTTATCAAAGGCCAACAATCGTAGTGTTTCTTGATATCAGGGCTGCCTTTGATTCGTTAGAAAGGATTGTTCTCTGGGATTGTCTATTGGAGAAGAGTGTGCCTGAGAAGTTTATCAACATCCTGTCGTGAGTGATGAGATCAACTCACGTATGCCAATCTGAGCAACCTTTGGCGCCTTCGTGATGTCAGTTTGGCTGTAAAAGGTCGGATCTACAACGCGTCGGTGAGAGCAGTTCTGCTCTATGCTTGTGAAACCTAGCCTTTCCGAGTTGAGGATGTTGGACGGCTCGCTGCGTTTGATCATCGTGGTCTCCCAAGGATTGCTGACATCCAATGGCAACACCATGCCAGTAATGCAGAGGTTCAGCATCGTATGTTCGAGTGCAGAGACGATGTCATCATTTTGAAACATCGACTTCGGTAGCTTGGACATGTTCTACGAATGTCGTCCCAGAGAATTCCTCGTTGTGCATTATTTGGCGACGCTGGGACTGGTGTCGGGGTATGAAAGAAAGCTGTAATGGGCTGGCTTGTGTTGGATCTTCACGACTCCCTGGTTGGGGTCCGAGAGATGGTGCGACACAGTGGCTAGAGACGTTATCAGATATGGCTCAGAATAGAAGCCAGTGGCGATCCTGCTGTAACCTTCTTTTACTTTCTTAATAAAAAGTGGTTGTATCTTCCTCAACTGAAAGATTTCTTCTGGTTGTACCTTTACGTTTCCCTCATTATTATTATTACACTACCTTACACTAATCTGGTCGTTATTGTTCTTCTTTTTTTCTTTTACGCCCTTACCTTCTTTTTTTCCCATTCTAGTTGTTTTGTGTGGCGCATATATATCTGGTGCCCCCTTGTACAAATATTTATGTGTTTAAACAAATAAATAACGCCAAAAGAAAATAACACTCATTTATGATAGACACTGACAGTGAGTGTCATGAAACATTCCGAAAATAGATGAGGACATGACAATGCTCTGACATTTTACTAAAACAAGAATCTAGACTTTACACAATTATTCAGTCCTGTGTGACAATATTTTCCAACAAAGTGTACATAGGTAGAGTGGTTAATAGGATTCAGACGAGGACTGATTCACATCAAAAATATTGTTAAAATCATTGTATCAAAACTGATTATTCATGAAAAATAAGACCGAATTGACTAGAAACACTTAAAATTGGAAGGAAATGAAGAATTTCTATCTTACTATCCTTTTATATACTATCGATAAATACACTTAACCTACCCTTAACTTCCGTTTCTCGCCACACTGCATCCCATTGAAATCTGTGCACTCCAAGGGAGGATTCTGCTTGAGCTTCTGTAAACACTGAACGTTCATGTCGCAGAAATTTAGCCCAATAGTGATCCCAATTCCCTTCTGTCCCACCAATACTAACACGAACGTATGGATTATTCTCCAATGGCTTTGAAATAGTTGCGAACCTTCGAATGAATAAAGACAACAAGAGAAAAGAAATGTATTCATAGTAATGTCGGACTTAATGTCACTAAAGAACGTGAATAAAAAAAGTACTCACTATTATATCCTAACGAAGAATAAGTGAACCGTAGCTGTTAAGAGTTCCTTATTATAAGCTTCCATATGACCCATTGACTACTACTATAGGATTGACAAATTTTTAAGTTATTCCCGATTTATTAGTTACGTCTCTCACACTCACAGTCACTTTTGGCTTGGTGGCTGTGGGGGACCCACCTAGAGGAGTTAGAAAACCTTCATTCCAAACCAATGATGCATATGGGCTCCAGGATCCTGAGTGAACAAATGGTGTACGAACCATTTATCGGTCAACGGCTTCTATGGAACTGCATCGCTTGACGTCGCTCCACTGCCTTGTGAATCAGACGAATAGGTCGAAGGTTACGGATATGGGCCCCTAAGAAAACCAACTGTTTTGGTCTACGCACCCGGGCAGTATCACAGTCCACACACAAATCAAGTAACTTGTGAGGCGCATATGTATTCGGTGCCCCTCTGTACCAATATTTATGTGTTCAAATCAACGAAAAAAATATGATGCGGTCTGGTTTGCTTGTATATAAACGAAGTATGTCTGAAATATATGATTCACAGTGAAGGATGAGATTGTGTTCCAAACTCAAACGGGCAGGGTTAGGTGGAAAGAGCAAATAAGGGCTCAAAATTCACTCTAGGCTGCTCGTACTGGTTAACGCGTCAATGGTTTGGCACAGTGCCAAGGTCATTTACGTCGGTGTTCTAATGGGCGATTTGATCACGTGATATATTAACAGGGCATAAGATCATAACACTTACAATACCTATTTCACACAATAAATAGGAAGTATGATGAGGAAACCTTTCAATTATAGCTCCAGTAGTTAGTTAGCAGCTACATAATTTAAAGAGCAGATATTTCAAATTTACTACACTGGGTTTTATGAAGTATCACGTTTGATAGACTTTTATCCATTTTGCTTTTAAGACACACCTTATAGCATTTTTGTAAAGGGGGGAAGGCAGCATTACTGGATGCATAGTGGGAGTGAAAAACCAGGTACTATTACACCGAGATTTCTAAATCTTTCGTCATGATATGACTTAGTGTTATCCAAACGAATGTGTTTAATTGAAGAGGAGTTCCACATATTTTGCATCCCGGTTATTTAATATATCTTCACTAATATTAATTAGTGCCCTGTGACTTATCCGTATTCGTTAACGATTGCTCTGTTAATAAATTATAATCATTTTAATCTCTATGTGGAAGATTAATTTTGCTTCTTGCCTTTGAGTGAAGTGAGGTTTTCAAGGATGTAAGACAATAGAAAGCATAATAATAACAGACGTAAGATCAAACATACAAATACAAAGACGTGCACTTGAAATATTAAAATCAAGAAAACTAAGGCACATGAAATATATATTATGGCAAAAGAATAGAATACGGTTGAGAACAAAAAGAAGGTTTGAAGTAATAATAAAAAAGTATATACATCATATAGAAAACTCGAGGAAGTTTGCCACTTAGGCATGTTTGACAAAAATAATGTCATATGAATATGTAACATTTGACTCAAGAAGTGTATGCCAAAACAAACTAACCATTTCGTGGGACTACATCAAGTTCAAAGTTTCTCGAACAGTAATAGTTCTTAAAATCTATCCGGACTACTAAATTACTGATATGATTCAAATCCTAAACGATATATTCGAAATATTTTTGGCCGGTCGGAACAAAGATTTTACTACGTTTAAGCACATAGTATCGATATTCAGTGGTGATACTTCCACTGAATGTGAAATAACTACAGAAATAACGAGGGTTCAACACAAAGCTTTAGAGTTCTCAGTACCATAGACAGCATAAACTGATACGTACTACCCTTTTCTTGACAAATAGTAACCAATTTGGTGCAATAAACTCTTACACGACTACTGGTCCAGAGAGCATAAAAATCAAAGACTGATGACATTCCTGGTGATTCATGAAATCACTGTGTCGTATAACACGGGACCACTGACTATCATGGAGTTGGTTCCTATTATTAATAACGATAGAACGCTAGTAGAAAAGCTCGGGACAAGAAGCTACACAATGTACAATGAGTTTAACAGGAGTAAAAATTACTTGGAAACCAAATGGTTTGAACCGATTTCAACATCAATATCAGCACATTCAGCACGGTGAGCAAAATTATTGAGACGAACATTTCCACATGCCTTTGTAATTCCATCAGTTCCATGAGTCATTGACATTCGGGCAGTAACGAAGCGTTTTTCCTCAACTTTGAAGGTAATCTGGTCAAGACCAACAGAAAATGTAAATGGGAATGAAAACTGTTAAACAAATGTTACAACCGTCACTAAACTAACAAAATTAAAAACGATGCAAGGTAGATGATCTAAAACTAGCAACAAACCAGGCCATAACTTCAAAAACATTTGAAATGCCGTTGACTACAACCTGAATAAAAATATGTTCAAGGCGTAATATTTCAGTCAGTCAGTCAGCTACAACGCAGAACCAAGCACACATATGCGTCGGTTCAAGTTGCCACGCATCACTAGTACAACAAGGTGAACACCAAATTCATAGATGTAGTTACTTCAATTGTAGTGAAATATAAAAGAAGGATTTCATATTAGGATATGATACAGAAAGAATTAGTTCGTGAAAAGAAAGGTATAAAGCAATTTTAATCTCACCGTTTGAAGGTAGACAAGGAGTGTATACACTTAAGCCATTGTGATTGATTCTGAACCATGTCACCCACAGTCTCCAACCATTGGTTACGATGGTCGCGCGAACCACAACAAAGAAGTCTGCATCTACCAACATGGCTCAGACTAGAAGTTAGTGACTTTTTGGACTGATGCCAGGTTTTGGTTTGGCCGCCCCCAACATTTTTTCAACCATCCCCGACACTAGTCAGCATTGTGAGTAGTGATAATCGATATATTTTCAAGATATCTGTGACCAAATACTAGTAGCTTCTACCCTTAACGGCCACGTTTCGCAGCCGTAAAGTAAAACAGAACGAACTGCCGCGCAGTATACTCGTCCTTTGATTAACAGACGGATATCTCGACTTCACTATAAGTGAAGTGATTTCGTCAGACACCAACCCATTAGGGTTGATCAGATTTCCAAGATAAGTGAAGTTGTCGACGTGTCCGACTACTTCACGCCTTATCCTTAGTTCCTTAGGTGTTGACGTATGCCAGTCCTGAAGCAACAAATTGCATTAAAGAGGTAGAAACGCATTCCAAACATCCTGGCATTGTTGCTCAGTATTATCAAAAGACGCATATATATTTGGTGTCCCCTTGTACCAATATTTATGTGTTCAAATAAATAAATACAAAAACAATGCATTTTATCAGCATCTTCACCAAACAGGACAATGTCATCTGCGTATTCTAAGCCAATAAGTGGAACTCCTGGTAGATCAGTTCCAGAAAATTCAGACGATGGGAACGTTAGCAGACACTCAAGCAAAACTGTGTCTACATACAATGAACAAGCAACCCATTAATTGAAAGCCGATCGTTTAAGCCATTAATTCACTGCTCCGCAAGTTAATCCATGTCCTATGCTAAGCATAATTGAACTGCACATAGTTTAATGCCAATCCCTAAACAAAAAATACCGCATGTATCAAAGCGAAATCGTGAAAAATATGAAGCTAAGATAATGTAAGGGTTAAACGGAAGATCATACATTAACATCAATCACAGGATTTAATTCGAATAACTTTTGTGAACTGATCCCAGAATGTAACTTACGGAAAACTGGAGCGAGACTAGACAACTAGGTTACCCCGAATAACTTTATTGATATTTCAGGCAAAACTGATCATACATTTTCGTTTAAGCACAGTTTCACAATCATTACAAGATACCTCTCAAAAAGGTAGTTTTAAAGCACAGTATTATAAGACTAATCCGATGCAGCCATAATATCACGAGAAACAAATGTTGAATTACAAATTCTAGTATTTGGCACATGTTCGGAATGAAGCCTGTGAAGTGAATCTATCTCAAGACTTCATTTGAAAGGCTGTATTTCATTGGCTTTAAATAGCCTATACGATGAAAGTTAATATTTAGGATATCTAACTTTTCAGGCAAGAAATCCCCCTTGATCATTCAAAATAACACATAAAACATATGAAGCTCTTAGTTTCTTTTTAAATAATATTATTTGATGACCGATACTTGGTCACTAAAATCCACTGCCTTGTGGAACAGACGTTCAGGTCAAAGGCTCGGGGTGTGGCCCCCTAAGAAAACCAACTGCTTCGGTTTGGGCACCCGGGCAGTATCACAGCCCTCACACAAATCAATTGCGATTCGTGTGGCACATATGTATTCGGTGCCTCCTTGTACCAATACCTATGTGTTAAAATAAATAAATAAATAACACTAAAATCCGGTGCCCCCAAATGCCCTGGTACGGTCGAGAGTGGGAGAGTCCGCCCTCCCTCTCGAAATGCTCTCACATGGTCACGAGTATATAGCCTCTGCCAGGGAAGTCCTACTCACTGCCTTCTCGTGGTGGGGGTGTTGTCTACGAAAATGAGAGGATGAAAAGCCTTGTGTATAAGACGTTCAGGTCGAAGGCTCTAGGTGTGGTCCCCTAAGAAAACTACCTGCTTTGGTCTGGGCATCCGGGCAGTATCATAGCACTCACACAAGTCAAATGAGATTTGTGTGGCGCATATGTATTTGGTACCTCCTCGTACCAATATCTATGTGTTAAAATAAATAAATAAAACTAATAACCGGTACTATTACCATTGTGTATAATTACAATTCACAAAACACTGAGAGACACAAAGCAAGTTAAACACTGAAAACACCTTTCAAAAGTTATGTTTTTTAAACAAGATTACTTTATACGCATTCGGCTTTGAATGATCTTCGGACACATCCACGACAGCAAAAATAGTCTTGAACACACCAAGCTTTACGAGCTTTTCTTTGGCAATCCTCACATTCTCAAAAAGGTCCTGTAAATTCTGTGATTTCACTAACCCCACAAGCTTGATAAATCAAAGTTCAAATCGAAGATTATTAACTACTTGTTTTTTGACAATTGAATCGTGCGTCCTGTCCAATCCAGAAACAACAACTTCATCGACGGTAGCAGGTATGGAATCCAAATTAAAATACGTTTCCGGAGGCATGTTAAGAAAAACAGAAGATGAATCAAACCACTTGAGTTATTGATCAACTCGAATTTAGAGTTAAACTAGAAGATCGATAATACAGCAGACTAAGTAACGAACAGCTTTCTACAAGCCGCCTTCACAACTGCAGTCATAAAATTGGCCTGAGCCTCAATATCCAATGTCTCCTCGAACTAGCAAAAAACTATTAGTTGTTTAGCGCGTGGACAAAGATTTTATGGGACCGCCTACTCTAAGAGATTTATAAACAAGAAGCACAGAATAGACGTGGTATAAATTTTCACTGTAACTAGGTATATTATTCATACAAGTTTGGAATTAATTTCAACAACCTTCAGGACTTCACTAGTGATTCTTATATTAAAAATTCAGTTCCGTTCACTTCTACATCCTACCATTAAGTTACTCTCATAGGTATCTGTCAGACGGCAGTGGATAAAAATCTATACAGAATTTATTACGTGGTTGTGTATTATCAAAAGAACGCGATTGGTGTTCGCTCGCTTCGATAACGTTCATATAGACATTGTGAACCATTGTCACCATCGCACCGGTACGATCACATACTCACGTGCATCGACTGTTTTACAAGATGGCCCGAAGCTATTCCCATCACGTCTATTGCGGCGGAGACAGTTGCTCATCGCTTCGTAGAACGATAGATAGCACTGTACGGTCGTCCCTCGACTGTCACGACTGACCGAGGACAACAATTCGAGTCCCCATTATTCTCCCCAATGACCCAGATGCTTGTTACGGAACGCGTACGCACTACCTCCTACCACCCAGCATCAAATGGTTTAGTTGAATGGTTTCATCGCCAACTTTAAAGTGCTCTGCAAGTACACGAAAACGACAATTGATACGGAACCTTACCGCTCGTTTTCTTAGGAAGATATTCAATCTTCTGCGGCTGAACCTGTTTACGACACGACATTACGTCTGCCTGAGAAATTTTTTACACCACGGAGCAGTAACCATTTCGGTAAGTTAGACTAGGTCCATCGACTGTCTGAATTTATGGAAACACTGCCTCCGGTGTCGACTCGAATACAACATCAACAGGTCGCTCTCCCTCGAGAGTTATCTACCTGTTCACATGTTTCCATACGAGCAGATTCAGTACGCAAACCTTTGCCACAGCCTTACGAAGGACATTTTCACGTGATCTCTCGTCACGAAAAGACCATCAAGGTTGACTAACATGGCCGCGTCGAGATCGTCAGAATCGATCGTCTCAAACCACCACACGTCGATGTCAGTGCCATGAAAACTTGAGATCCCATGCTAGACCTATCAAACGTTCTAGCAGGATCTCTACATCTACTTCAGATCTCACGCTAGGTACATCAGAGTCTTCATTCTCAAGTCCCAGTGAACAGCACGTGTCATCTGCACCATCTACGTGCGAGACTTCTGTCTCGCGTCAAGATCAGCAGACCACGCTGCCCTTGACATCGGATGAGGTTGCGGCTCACGAAGTACGAACGAGGCTACCGTCTCACGCTCCTGTCGCTGAGTACGCCTACCCGTACGTTTTCGCGACCAACCGCACAATCAACAACGGATACGGTGTAGGACTATCCCTATACTGCATGCATGCTACACCTTTTCTATCCTTTTATTTTTTCGGTATTTTGAGCCAACGCCTCCGACCATCGCCCGTTTGGTAACGTTGACTTCAGTCAACTTTGGCGAAAGCTGGCCTGATCACCCAATCTCATGTCAAAGCACTCAGTCGATATTCTGGCTTCGAATCCGTCTGGCATGTGTTTGGTCTTGCAATTTGTTTTTATGGTCGCTTCTGTTCGCTTAGTTCAACGTCGTTCCGTCCTACATCTGGAGCGCTTTCTGGTCCGCACCCCTACGAACGCGATTCGCAGACCCTGGGTACAGACCACTCTGGTACCGTTCTATGTAAAAGACTTTCAGTGTTAACTCGAGGATAAACGATCGCTTCCTGTTCTGTCAACCCTTTCGTCCTACAATCGCACGTTTGCCGGTGTGTAACACGAATGAAACCGTCACGTACTGAAAGTGTAAACTCTTCTAGCGGGGGGCTCATGTAGTGACCTACTTTTATCAACAGTACGCGATTGGTGGAAACAATTACTATTATAACCAATTGTACCAGTGATTGTTTTACTGTACTTGTTTGTTTGACTGTAACAAAGACATTCTTGCTTCAATTGATTGTGACCTTGTACGCGCTTGCGTTTGCTCAGTGAACTCTTATACTCCTTGGCACGATCTCGGTATTCTTTCGATACCATAAGATCACCAACAAATCCATCTCGACTACAGCCATCATCTACTTTCTGATAATGGCCTACGGGGATCCTATTAGTTAACTGTCGTGTGGTCTTATTGTAGTGGTGTTCATAGTCCACCCTGACTCGACTCCACGCTACAATTGCCTGAGTAGTAAATTGACATGTTCGTATGATTAATTTGCAACAGCATGAAAGAAAGGAGATAACCCGTTCGTGCATTGTATGTGTGAAAGAAGAACAAATCACGAGGGTGAGTAGGCTAGACCATAACAAAAAACGTAATGTTGCCATATGTGTTTGTATTTTGACCGCCTTGCCACCTGACTAATAATATTAATATATTTCTGCATGAGCAGGTACACGCCATTTTTACAGGCATGATCTACAAATTATAACATTTGTTGGAGCATAGCATGCTTCCTAACTTATAAGGTTAAAGTTGTTATAAAGTAGTCTCGTGGAGCGCTTTTTATAAACCATGGCCTTGAGTTGACGCATACGTCAAGTTTGTTCCAGACGTTAGAAGTTCCATAGCTGTGCCCTCGGAGCAAGATTCTGAAGAAAATAAAAAAGAGAAACAGCAGAGCAACAAGGCACTTGGAAATGGACTCCAAACGTTGCTTAACATTACGTAGAACAGACAAAGGTATAATAAATTAGATTAAATTCATATTATCTCTTGTTAGAGTGAAATAAAGTCAGAGGCTCCATTCAAGAGAATGTAGTAATAAAGAACAATGAATTGTGATGTTTAACAAGTTGGAGTAAGCTCATATGAAGGAAGGGAAGTTAAGGTTGGTACAGGGAAAGTTGTTTATTAGAAGGGAGTGTGCATATAGAGGGTGAAGTGTTGAAAATATTAATAACTATATCTTTTGTTGTCTGACTTTCTCTTTCTTTCTTTTTTTCCATCCGATGCCAGCCACACAATTCATGTGTAAAAGTCCGAGTTAGCATGTTATAGGTTGTCTTAGTAGAACAGCTAATCCAGTATAAAATTGGAAGCATGAGTCTGAGTGGTGAGCGTAGGAAGATAATCTATATCACAAATTGATTGACTTATGCTCAATCATAGAGAGCATGATACATACAAAATGTTCTGCCCACAAAACACTGGTGGATTGAAGTCATCGTCCCCCAAATGACCTGGTACGGCCGAGAGTGGGGGGAGACCGCTCCCCCTCTCGAATTGCTCTCATATGGCCACGCGTATACAGCCCCTGCCAGGGAAGGCCTACTCACTGCCATCTCGTGACGGGGGTGTTGTTTACAAAAATGAGAGGACGAAAAGCAAATGTCCGGCGCTATAACCGGATCCAAAACCACTGGTGCACATGGGCTGTCTCCAGAATCTTGCAGGACCAAATGGCGTATGAACCAATCGTTGGTCACCGGCTACCAATGGGACTGCATCTCCTCACGATGCTCCACTGCCTTGTGGCTCAGATCTTCAGGTCGAAGGCTCGGGGTGTGGCCCCCTAAGAAAACCACCTGCTTCGGTTTGGGCACCCGGGCAGTATCACAGCCCTCACACATATCAAATGAGATCTGTGTGGCGCATATGTAATTGGTGCCTTCTTGTACCGATATTCATGTGTTAAAATAAAAATAATAAATAAAACCTCACCATCAATGCTTGCTGGTCAGTAACTCCACCCACCCTCCTTTTGTGATGTTAGGCTCATTTAAGCTTATTCTTTTATATATCTCATTCCCCACACATTCCTTTTTTTCACAATCTGTTGGAAAACACTATTTCTATAAGTACAATTTTACAAGCTTATCAGACAGTTACAAATTATGAACTGTGGGTAAGGCATCGATGCAGTGCTTTAATTGACTATAGTATAAAGTATAGTTTGCCTATTAAAGTACAAGCATAAGGAGGGGTGTAATGTAGGATAGTGTTTTAATAAAACGAGCGGAAAAGTATAGAAGTATATAGGTTGTAGATTAGGTAACGAGTGGAGGAATAATATTAATTGCTAGCCAACATGGTGTGCAGTAGAGTAAAAAGCAAATAAGCAATAAACAAGGATAGACTCACACTAACTTGGTGCTGATGTTCTTTTGTGTTATCCTAACCAGTTGATGGGTAACAGGCTCCATAGATGCAGTTCGATCGGTAGTAGGCAGTCGATTGCGCGGTTCTCTTGACTTTTTATGGTGGTAGTGTGTCTCTTAGCGACCGAGTTTAGTTGAACAGTATCAGCAGGTCCAGTGAGTTACCTGTCTACTTTAAGTGAAGAAATAGAGTGGGAAAAGTAACTAAAACAACTGCAAAGTAGGAAACATAAGGCAAACTGAACTTGGAGTCCATTTTGGTTTAGACATGTAGAGAGCCTATGATATCTGAGTGGGGCGCAGATCTGTTCGTATGTGCTCGATCAGTGCAAATGAGGGCTTGATCAAGCAGCCTTACAAACGTATGTAATTCATCTGCCATGCGTATTTCGGAGGGGAGACTATTCCAAATTATTGCATACTTGATGAGAAAGAAGTTTTCCCGAGTTTTTGATCTGTATTTCTCAACTTTGACTTTAGATACTTTTTTTCGAAGTACATATTCATGTGAATTTCGGGCAAGAACTATATTACATGTTGAATAAGTAAGGATTTTGAGTAGTTTGAAGTAGAGAATCAAATTAGACCTAAGCCTTTTCTTCCAAAGGGGTGCTATTCTTAGGATTTGGCATCGGGAACTGTAGTCAACGACTGATTGAGCCCTAAGTATTTCGCGGGTGAAGTCTCGTTGTATTCCTTCCACCTTTAGTATATCAGATAGACGTAGGTGGAAAAAGAAGAACGAGCAGTATTCAGCGATAGGTCTTACACAAACTTTATAAAGAAGGATTTTGGATTCATTTTGATAGAAATTACGGAGAATGAAGCCAAGCAACTTCTGCATTTTAGACGCTTTGGCTGAGATTTGTTCAGAGAAATTAAGACGTT